AGTTATCTTTGAATCATGCTTCTTCACTTGTTCTAAGTGTTGAGATTGTGCTAGAACTTTGGTTCCTTCATTTGACATGATCCTTCTTGTGCTTCCCTCCTGTCTTGATTTTGAATTTGATGCTTTCCTCTTGGTGTTTTACTTCTGCCCTAGTGGTTTAGACCCTTGTTCATGATGATTTGATGTTTATGTTTGCACTTTGAGTTTGTCATAAACATTTGTGTTTCTTTTGCATTGTTGTTTTGCACTTATTTTACTTGATCTTTAAGAATTGTATGGTTGAGATATGCATGTGGTGGTGGTTGCCCCACACTTTTTCCTCCCTCTTTTCTTTCTGTATGCATCTTAGGATAGCACCGTTCTGTTTTGGTGATTGATGGTTGATGGTTGTAGGAGCTTGCATCTCCCATTTCATCTCACCACTTGTTAACTTGTTTAAGTTGACTTTCTCTTGTGTTTGAGTCTCTCTTGTTGTTGAGTCTTGTTTCACCTTTTCATGCTTACCTTTGTGTTTGCATTTCATGTTTGTACCTCTTATTGCATCCTTCACCTCTTTTCATCTGTGATTGAATTGCTATGTGTTTACTTGTGCTCTTTTGCCATGATCCGTTAGGATTCCTAGTCCCTCTGTTTAAGATAGGAGTAGGAGATACATTAGGATTTCAATCCTTTGCATGATAACAATAGGTAGTTTCCCTTTCAATCCCAACTTTAAGATCACATTGCATGATAACATTATGGTTGATCAAGTCCCCTTAGAGTCCTATGTCTTCTCTTCTCATCTCATTACTTCATAAGACACTTAATAAAGGTTAACACTTGTTATACACTATGAGCCTTAAGTACTTGAGAAATGATGAGTGAGGTCCTCCTCTCACCTTGTCTAGAGTGTTTAGTGTATGCCCTTTGGGCGATATGCGACGCATTCGCTCTCAAGTCATAGTCTTTAGTGCAACATGAGTTTCAAATCTAACTCAATTCACTTCTTCTCTAAAAAAACACAAAACAAAAGTCAAACTTTTTTATCCTTCGGGATTGTTTGCAAATCATTTTCAGAAAGAGTGGTGTTAAGTCTTTGTTTTACCGCAAACAAACATTGTCCCTAACTGCTAGAATGAAGATTTAACCCTATTCGGTTAAAACACTTGAACCAACCAGTGGTCGTGTCAGCCCAAACTACGTTTGCTCTGATTTCTCATACCAAATGCGAATACGTAGGCACAAGACGGCGATGTCTTGGTGAGCAACCTTCCCCCCATTCACCCGTAGTTTTCCGAACTACGTTGACTCTGACTTTCCCATTGCACGAGGGAATACGTAGGCATAGGGCGGTGATGTCCTATAGAGTCCCAGTTCTTTCCTTTTACCCTCGTTTAGCAGTAGCATTAGATAGTTTTCACCCATAGATTAGATAACAAGCATGGATTCTGTTGAATACAACGAATCTGAGGGGTGCTCATACCTTCCCCTTGCATAACCGACTCCCGAACCCAAGATTTGGTTGCGATGACCTTGTCTTTTCCCTTTTTGTCAGGTTTTCTTTGATCATTTCCTTTCCCTCTTTGGGATAAATAACATGCGGTGGTGACTCTTCTGTCTAGTTTTCCGGCTTTCCCCTTTTTCGCAGCGATGCGACAGTCGAATTGTTTGCATTTGCGCTACGCCACTGCTCGAGCAGAAGAATCAATCGTGAATGAAAAATTCTTTTGGCAGTGAGACGCACATGGCCACCTGTAGGGGAGAGCTGTCAAAGGGTGACGTTTTTGTCTCTGTTTTATTTGGCTCAGATGCATCTCATTGAGGAGCTTCACCTCTTTTGGTGTATTGCTTCAAATGACCCTCCTTGATGAGGATCTCGATTACGTCCTTCAAGTGGACACAATCTTCAGTAATGTGTTCAGTGTTGCCTTTCAACGTTGTTAGTTTAGAGAAATGAACTCCTCCTTGCCTGAACTCGGTGTTGATGCACTAAAAAAGGATGCACTCGCAGGGAGCTATCAACAAGGTATACTCAGTAAAGCGACCAGCATGTCCTTTATGTTCACGGGGACGGTCATCTCGTCATTTTTCTTTGTCACGCCGTGGAGCTTTTGCCTCATCCTTTTTTGACGCCTTGGAATTCTCTTGGTTCTTCGAATCTCAGGCTTTATAAGCAGCTTCTTTTTACTCATATTGGATGTAAGCTTGGGCTTTGTGGAGGAGTTAGGCCATAGATCGAGGTGGTTCGATCCCCACTGCTTTGTAGAAATCACTATTCGGCCTTAGCCCCTTTCCCAGGAGGTACTTCTTCATGTTATTGGTCGTGTGGATATCGACTGCTTCCTAGTTAAACCTATCGATGTAGGCATGAAAAGGCTCATCCTTGCCCTGAATTCTGCCTTCGAGCATGGCTTCCAACTTGGGGTGACGTCTGGAGGAAGTGTAATGTCGGGGAAACTAATTTTTTAGGTTCCTCCACGATGTGATCGAGCCCCAAGAAGATTTTTGTACCAAGTCATAGCTCCCTTTCTAAGGGTGGTGGGGAATAATCTGCACTTGATTGCTCCGCCTATGTTGTGATAATGAAGCATGGCTTCAATGTTCTCTATATGGTCGCCGAGATCCGTAGTGCCATCGTAGAGAGCCAGATGAGGAGGCTTCTCCAGCCTGCAAGGGATACGGGTGTCCATGATTTCCTGGGATAGATGCACATGCATATTATCTTTATCACTTATGCTCGACGATCTGTATGATGAATGACTATGACGAGGGCGTTTTCTGTGTCGAGGAGAATGTTTACGCCGACTTGGATGTTCACGAGGCTTCTCCGAAGCCCTGGTCTTGGGAGTTGGAGAATGTCTTGTCCTTTGGGGAGAGGTACGATGTCGTTTCTTCGTGATTTCTTGCCATGGTTTCTCCAATTTTGTTCGTTCCTTGATCGTAGAAATGCTTCGAGACTCGTTTCATTGACGTTTCAGATGGGGAGAACGAGAATAGGGAGAAGGAGAAGGACTGTGAGGTCTCCGCGGGGGAGGTCGTTCTTGAAGAGTGTTTTCCTGCATGTCGATCTTCTCGCCCTATTAGAAAATCACGTAGTTAGATTTGTTGAGGGAGGTGATGAGAGCCGCAGTGCTGGGATCAACATCTTGAGGAATGGGGATGAGCTCATAGATGTGATCGGAATTCTAGATGCAGGGTTTCACGTTGCCAAAGGATGGAGAGGCAGTCTTTCCATCCCTATGATTAGTCACAAAGACCATAACTCTAGGATTAGGGTTATCATCGTTATCCAAGGTGACGACGATGATCGAATCTTGAGGGACATCATCAATATGGTGAGAGGCCATGATGATCGAGGAAGGTTTAGAAAGAAAAGCTTTGGTCTTAGGATTGAAAAGATTGGGGGTCTTGGTTCAAGAAAGACGGGGGAGCAGAGTTCTCACAGACAGCGCCATTGATCTGGAATGATCATAATGGATCGTCGTGGTCTTCAACGTAGAGCAATAAAAGTGATTGTAGGAGAGGAGGGGTGTACCTTCAAGACACTTCGATTCTAAAGTAACTAACAGGGAGAGAAACAGGGCAAGTACAAAGTGTTTAGGTTTGTGTTAGAATGAATTGGATACCTAACCCTCTCAAATAAGAGGGTATTTATAAGAAACTCCCAGCGCAGGGCCAAGGTCCTCATTGTGGGCCAGGATGTCTGGTCCACCAATGAGAGACTACCAGGTTTGCAAGGAGCAAGAAAGATTCTAGCGCGTGATCTTCGACCTGGTCCAACTGTCCCCGTGAGCTTCAGAGGGGTAGTTGGTCGCGTGAACTATGTAGAGCGTGAGGGGGAGGTCCCCAACGACTATAATGCTCTAACGACTATATTGTGCCTAACATTGTGTTAATCTTTCTATTGGGCTTTGTCTAAAGCTGGATTAGATTGTGCCTTACCCAACAGTGGGTCACCTTCCAGTCCAGTCCAATACACACACACACACACACACACACACACACACACACACACGTTGATTGTATAAATATAGTTTAAATATAATAGTTATAGATGAAAAATATACTCCCTCATATTTATAAAAGAAATTTGACTTTTTAGATTTATTAAATAATCAATGTATCTGATCAATTATGCATTCAGTGAATCTAAAAACAATTTTTAATATAATATAAAATTTAATTGATATTTGTTGACTTTATATATAATAATAAATAAAAAAATGTATAATATATGAATTCAATTGATATACATATTACATTGCCATATAAATATATTTTTCAATTAATCACAAATGCTTATTTATTTAAATTTTTTATTTTATTTATTTTTTTAGAATAATACATTTAAATACTTACGGTGTATTAATGGTATAATTTTTTTACACTGCATATCAATTAAATTCATAATATAATTCTTAATTTATGAAACTGATATTTATATTAATCGACCATGAAAGAATCACCACATCAACAATATATAATTTTAAAAGAAAATAAAACATACATTATTATTAGAAACTGATATTTTTTTAAAAAGTAATTTTAAAAGTATTATGTAAAATAGGATAGGTTAATAATGTCTTATTGAATTAATATTGCTAAAAAGCCCATTGGTGTGGCAAGTTACATGAAACCGTCACATCTTCTTCTAAAATTTTAAAAACAAAAACAAACAATTAGAATTTATTCATAACATTGAATTTGAAAAAATTAAAAACTTCACTTCTCCTTCATTTTCAACTGACTCCATTTCTGCTCCAATGTTCCAACATATCCAACAGACATTCTTACAAGTTCAGGTGTGATTCCAGCATGTTTTTGCTCCTCTTCATTCATCTCACTACTTGTGCTACTCTTAAAGCAAGAAATTAGGGTTTCATAGTATCATAAATTAACAGCCATAAAACCAAATTGAGAATATTTTTGCAAGTAGCTCATCACTTGATCATCCTTTGTAGTTGATCCAACATCAATGCAAAGAACCACACCAAATCCGTATTCCTTATTTCATATGGATTTCAAAACTTCGTGTTGTAGGTGTTTTTTAAGCCTTGGTAATGGACTTTGATTCTAAGTTTCTTAAGCCTGGTCGCATATTCCAATGCACGACGACCATGTTCTTTCATCCGAAAGCCCAAATGTAGGATTCTTTCAGAGATTTCAAATGTTACTTTTGCATCCATTGTTGGACCTAACAACATTATCCCACCTTGTTGAAAGTCCATCAATGAATTCACAAAGCTTTTAGACCCACACACAGCTCCTATCAATTTTTAAGATTAAAATTATTTATTACACATAATGCATGCAAGAAATTGCAGTTCACAACTACAATTACGACCACAATTTTGCTGATAAGGTCGCCACAACTACTCCATACCTCAATTGTGAGGCGAATTAAAACTATGAGTCAAACTATCATTAAAAATTACTTCAAGCAATTTCACTTATGTTCAAATTAGTATCAAAATTCAAAATTTTCATAAACTTAAAACTCAATTTTCTTCAAATGTTTTTATCAATATTCAAAAATTTCAAAAACCTAAAACTCAATTTTCTTTCGATATAATAAAAAATATTAACATAAAATGTTTTTTTAACAATATTTCTAACACCTCCCAATTAATGATGATTTTATATGAAAGGAAATAGATAGAGGTAAACTTGTAATACTATCACCACCCCCGTTGATAAACTTGGTGAGGTTGTGAACGACGACATCGACCCCAAGACGGGCCACAAAAATCATCTTGGGAGCAAACATGTTGTTAACCAGCACAATCACTCCTTTCTTGTGTCCAATTCTAGTCAGCTCAGGAATATTCAACACCTTCAAGCTTGGATTCGCTATAGATTCAAAATACAACACTTTCATCTTCCCTTCCACAATCACGTTCTCTACCGCTTCCAAAGGTATCCGCCATGTTTTCTTGAAATGAAGATTTGGAATGGGATTGATTTATATAATAATTATAAAAGAGTAGGACAAATGCTAGGTAATTTGAGTATAAGTTTGTGGTCTAAGTTTCATCCAGATTGCAATATCCATTATTGTGCTCTGATAACAAGTGAGTCTGATGTTATTAACTTGCACTCAGATTTCTCTCTACACATTTTGAATTATAATCAAGTGGAAGTTGTTTACAATGCAATCTTAAAGAGTTTTGAATCCTTACTTATAAAGGCTAAAACAGTTTATGATGTAATCTTAATGAGTTTTGAATCATTATTAATAAAGGTTAAAACAGTTTATGATCCCAATCAAATGATTGTCTCACAAACGGGATCTTAATTATTAAACTTAGTAACCTTAGTTTCAAACGTCTAAAAGCTTATGGATGGAAAAACATATGAAGAGTGTTAAGAATGTAATTCTTTGTGTTGAAATATCTATGTGTCGAGTTGTATTAGTATGTTGAAGTGTTGAAAAAGATTGATTCACATAGTATTTTGACTTAGGCCTATTTTAGTAATGTTAACTATTTTGGGATTTTATAGTTTTGAGATTTGCCTTGGAGTGCAAGCTAACCTAAATCTATAAATAGGAAGAAACCCTTATTTTTTAAAAATCAAAATTCCTATTTTTGTATTCGCAGTTTACAATTGCAAGTGAATAAAGATTTTCCACAGTTTGTGGGCAGAGAGAACTCTCCAGATTTTTCATCTTCTTCTCCAACATTTCTTTCTTTCTTTCTTTCTAAATTTTTAATTCTCATTGTGTGATTGTTAAAAATCTTGAGATCAAAATTTAGCGTAATTCACCGTAGGTTATGGTTGAATAACAACATCTGGTATCTAGAGCTCCAGTTGCAATTCAAGGAAGGAAAATCGTGATGGCGATGAATCATCCGAACATACACTTTTTGGAAAATATATCGATTCTAAAGAAAGATGATTATGAGAATTGGTGCAAGCAGATTAAAGTGGTTTTATGTTATCAAGATCTTTGGGATCTTGTAAAGGGAGGAGTAGCACCGCTTTCATAGAACGCGACAGATCAAAAAAAGGATGCGCATAAAGAATTGAAGAATAAAGATTATAAAGCTCTCTTTATAATCCATCAATGTGTTGATCCAGATAATTTTGAAAAGGTTAGTGATGTAGAGTCAGCAAAGTAACCGTGAGAGATTCTTGAAAAGTCATTTAGAGGAACAGAGAAGGTGAAAGAGGTGAGGTTACAAACTCACAAGATAACCTATGAATTGCTTTAGATGGAAGAAAGTGAAAGTATAACAGATTTCTTCATTAGGGTTACTAAATAGTTGAATCAAATTAAGGTATGTTTATAAGTGTTGACACCAAGATCAGTTGTTTCAAAAATCTTGAGGTCATTGGCTCCAAAGTTCGACCTCATGGTAGTGGTCATAGAAGAGTCGAAAGACTTGTCAGTATTGACAAAGGAAGAGCTTCAAGGGACGTTTGAGTCCCATGAACAAAGGATGGCTGAAAGAGCTGCAAGAAAGTTGAAGAGTGATATGGCTTTGCAGGCGCAGTTAGAAAAAGAAAATAAAGGTAAAGGAAGTTGAAATGGCAAAAAAAAAGGTAGAGGAGTCTACAACTATTCGACTGGTCGAAATCAGCAGGAAGGAAACTGGTCGAATCAGAGAAAACCCTGGAACCAAGGCAACCAAAGAGGTAGTGCTACAGGTAGAGGAAGAGGTGGTGGTCGAAAGCCTGGAAAAAGTCACATCCAGTGTTTCGATTGTCAGAAGTATGGTCACTATTTTAATGAGTGTCGAGAAAAGAGAAGAATCAAGAAACTGATGCAAAGCTGGCGAAACATGAATAAGAAGAGATGTTGTTGATGGTTACAACAAGAGATGAAGAAAGATTCCAGGATCAGTGGTACTTGGACTCAGGATGCTCATCACACATGATTGGAAGGATATATTGGTTTGTCAACAGGAAGCCCTCAATGAAGAATATGGTGAAATTTAAAAATGACAATACTCTAGCAGCTGAAGGTATTGGTGATGTTATGACTATTAGGAAAGATGGCAAGACGTCAGTAATTTCCAATGTGTTGTGCATACCAGGCATGAAGAGTAATTTGTTTAGTATAGGGAAGCTGATCAAAAGGAGCTACAAGGTGTCGATCGAAGACAAGATGATGAGAGTTATTGACATATGTGGTAGGTTAATCTTGAAGGCTTCAATGTCTCAGAATAAGACCTTCAAGATTGAACTAAATGTGATGGAGCATAAGTGCCTTGCAAATGCAGCCAGCAGAGATGAATGGTTATGGCATTATCTACTTGGCTATCTCAACTTCAAAGATATCAGAGATTTGAAGAGGATAAATATGGTTTCAGGACTACCAAAAATTGACATTCCTAGTGAAATATGTGAAAAATGTGTTTAGGCGAAACAACACAAGAATAGCTTCAACAAGGATGCAGGAAGCAAGTCGAAGGCAATTCTCAAAGTCATATACTCTGATATATGTGGTTTTATCCAGGTGGATTCAATTGTAGGTAACAGATGCCTTGTCATGTCCATAGATGATTTCAGTCAAAAATTATGGACTTACTTGATCAAGAAGAAAAGTGAAGTGATCGAGGTGTTTGCCAAATTTAAATCTATGGTCGAAAGATAAAGATTCTGAGAACTGATGGTGGTGGAGAATATGTGTCAAAAGATTTCGATGCATTATGTGAGAAAGAAGGGATTGTGCATAAGGTGGTGCCACCCTACACTCCACAGCAGAATGGAACTGCATAAAGGAAGAATATAACCATCACGAATATGGTGGGAAGCGTGTTGAAAGGCAAGCATCTACCCAAAGAATTATGGGGAGAAGCGGTGTCGAGCGCAACATATATCTTGAATAGATGTCCAATGAAGAAGCTAGAAGGAATCACGCCAGAAAATTGTTGTTATGATATCAAGCCTAGCCTTAGTCATTTGAAGGTGTTTGGATCTATAGGACATAGACATGTGCCAAATTAGTTGAGAAGAAAGCTTGATGATAAGTCGAGTCAAATTGTCCTAATAGGATATCATTCGAGTGGAGGATACAAGTTGTTCGACCTAGTGAACAATCAAGTTAGGATCAGCAGGGATATAATCATAGGTGAGTTTAAGGAATGAGATTGGACTGAAAATGTCAAGAAGGATTCAGTGAGAATTTTATATGAAGAACCAGCTAGTGAAGTCGAAAGAGAAGTTCGACAAGAAGAAGTCAGAGATGAAGCAGGCCCTAGCAGACCTTGACGAACAAGACACATGCCTACAAGGTTGCAAGAATGTGTGTTACATCAGATGATATGCTCGATGAAGAAGATGAGTTTGTACATTATGCTTTCTATGCATATCTTAAACAAGTCAATGCAGTTGAGGTATTGAAAGATTTAAAGTGGGTGAAAGCAATGAATGAAGAAATAGAGTCCATCGAAGTCAACAACACTTGATCACTTGTCGAATTGCCTCAAGGCAAGAAGGAAATTGATGTGAAATGGGTTTACAAGGCGGAGGTGAATCCTAAAGGAGAGGTAACTCGATACAAGGCAAAACATGTGGCGAAAGGATTTCTTCAGAAGGAAGGAATCGACTTCGACGATGTTTTTGCACCTGTTGCTAGGATCAAAACAATCAGGTCGGTTGTTGGTTTGACAAACATGAAAAATTGGCACACATGTCAGATGGATGTGAAATATGCATTCCTGAATGACCCCTTATATGAAGAAGTTTATGTTGCATAACCAGTTGGATTTGTGAAACAAGGCGAAGAAAGAAAGATGTACATGTTGTATAAAGCTCTGTATGGACTTAAGCAAGCTCCAAAAGCTTGGAATGAGATTATCGATATCTTTCTAAGGGAGAAGAAATTTGTGAAGTACACGAATGAGCATAGAGTATATGTAAGGAGAAGTAATAGTGAATTGCTTATATTATGTCTCTATGTTGATGACCTGTTGATAACAGGAAGTCGCAAGAAGGAGATCGAAGATTTCAAACATGACCTAAGTGAGGAGTTTGAAATGTCAGACTTAGAAAATCTCTCATATTTCCTTGACATCGAATTCTACGAAAGTATTAGAGGTTTGATGATGTACCAAAGAAGATATGCAGGCCAAATAGTCAAGAGATTTGAGATGCAAGATTGCAACCCAACTTCGACTCCACCTAAGACTAGATTGCAACTGTCGAAGGATTCAAATGAAGATGATGTCGACCCAACCCAATATAGAAGACTTATTGGGTCACTTTGATACCTTTTTCACACAAGGCCTGACTTAGCATACAATGTGAGTATGGTAAGTAGATTCATGCAGAAGGCAAAGATATCATACCTAACAACGACGAAGAGGATACTGAGGTATCTGAAAGAAACTCTCGACTACGACATTCTATTTCCTACAGCTGATGAAGCAAAAGAATGCAAGCTAGTGGAATAAACTAACTCAAGTTGGTGTAGTGATGCCGAGGATTGAAAATCCACATCTGGATATGTGTTTATGCTAGATGGTGCCCCAGTTTCTTGGAGTTCGAGAAAGGAGCTAGTAGTGGCATTGTCATCATGCGAAGTAGAATACATAGCTGCTTCTCTTTGTGGGTGTCAAGCAACATGGATGGTGAATCTGGTCAAAGAGATTACATCGAAGAGTCATGGAGCAATTACCATGAAGATCGACAGCATGTCAGCTATCAATCTGGCGAAGAATCCGATAGTACATAGTTGAAGAAAGCACATTGAAATGAGATTTTATTATCTTCGAGATCAGATAGCAGAATGGAAGATGAACTTGGAACACTGCAAAACTGAAAATCAGATTGTAAATATCATGACGAAAGGAGTACAAGTCGAAGTGTTCAAGAAGTTAAGGTCTATGACAAATATAGATAGTTTTCTACATAACGAATTATGTGGTGTGT